CTCTTCCCGGACTGGGAAACGGATCCCACCCACCCTCCACGACCTACTTGGGAGTAAGCCTTCCCCGGGATCCGGCTGCAAAAAGGCTTCTTTCCCTCCTGTCGCAAATCTGAAGCCCTCCTTGGTCTCTTGGGCCATTCAATGGCAAAGCCTTCTCCCCCCCCCCCCCAAAAAAAACCCCATTTCCTCTTTCCCCCCCCGCCTTGCTCCGCCTCTCTAGGAAGCAGCTCCACTCAGTTTAACCCTTTCAGTGCTGCAGACCAAGGCGAACAGCGTCTTCCTCCGGAGGGGCCGGAGATCAGCCAGCGCTGCCCTCTAATGCAGCTTGGCGGGGCTGCTCGTGAGTAGAGGGGGGGGGGGGGGAGGAGAATCCCAGACTGTGTTGTCGTTGTTGTTGTTTTTAATGTAAAAAGGTTCCCTTGCTCGAAAGCCAGTCGAGTCCGACTCTAGGGTTGCGGTGCTCATCTCCGTTTCCAAGCCGAAGAGCCAGCGCTGTCCGAAGACGTTTCCGTGGTCATGTGGCCGGCATGATTAAACACCATTGCTTTCGAACTGCTAGGTTGGCAGGAGCTGGAACTAGAGACGGGAGCTCACTCCATCATGCGGCAACGCGGGTCTCGAACTGCTGAACTACCGACCCTCCACAGCCTGCAGTTCAGCGTCTTAACCCCTTGAGCCACCGCATTTAATGTATATTTTATTAAATCTTTCCAATACTGTTACAACCAGTGTTCCCTCTAAGCTGAGTTAGTGTGAGCTACCTCACAGTTTTTTTTAGCCTCTGGCTCACACATTTTTGTCTCCGCTTAGGAAGGATGGCTCCAGAGCCAACTAATTTATGCAGTAGCCAAGTTGCTCGCTCACAACTTTAATACCAGTAGCCCACAAAGAAGAATTTTTGTTCACACAACTCCGCTTAGAGGGAACAGTGTTCGGCAATCAATAGCGATACAAAACCCATTTCAACACTAGATAACCTTCAATGAGGGTACAGAAAGGAAGACCACAGGTTTCCAGGTTTTCATCAGCCAGGTCAGATAACTAAAATAAAATCAAGAAGTTAATCTCCGAGGTGTTGATCCCGGGCTGTTCAGACCCTCTCAGCGAATGGAGCAATGGGGGTGGGGGGGAGCAGGGGTCATTTCGTAGAAAAAGAGCTAGGGGAACTCATTAGCATAACCCATTAGCATATGCCACACCCCCTGACATCACCGGAAGTGTGTCATAAGGCCACACCCCCTGACATCACTGGAAGTGTGTCATAAGGCCACACACCCCGCCCCCAACGGTCCCGGCCGCCGCCACCGGCCTTGCAGCTCCACTGCTGAGCCCCATGAGGGGCCCGGCGGTGGACCTGCAAGGCCAGCGGGAGTGCGAGGAAGCCCCGCGACGGCCCTCCCTGGTCCCAGGCAGGCAGGGGTGGGGAGAGGCGGGGAGGAAGCAACTTACCCTCCCTCTTCTCCTGCCTCCTCCTGGCTGAATGAGGGCCAGAAGCGGGGTGGCCGGAAGCAGGGGGCGGGGCTTCATCATGTGCCTCGCCCCCCCCCCGTACCTCACCCAGGGGAACTGCGATCCCCCGCGATCCCCCCCCCAAATGACCTCTGGGGGGGAGGATGAAGAAGGCAAACTCCAGCTAGCCACTCTGCAGCCATCCGGAGCTGCTGCCTCCGTGTGTGTGTGTGTGTGTGTGTGGAGTAAAACAAAGGACAGCGATTGCCCATATAGACACTTCGTTGTTTCTGCTCGAACGCCCCCTTTCCTTAGACGGTTGAACAAGCCCGGGATACCCCCGGGGAACGTGCAGTCACTACAGACCCGCAGGCAAGGCTCCCTCTAAACAGGGGTGGGTTGACCATTAAGCAAACTAAGCAGGTGCTTAGGACACCAGGGCCAAAGGGGGCACCACAAAGTTGGGGAAAGGGTGAAAAGCTTAGTTTGTACAGTACTATTGTGCTACTACTTGCAAGAAATTGCAAGTAGATAAATAGAGACCACGTCGGTGGGAAGGTAACAGCGTTCCTGCGCCTTGGTGTTTAGTCATGCCGGCCACATGACCACGGAAACGTCTTCGGACAGCGCTGGCTCTTCGGCTTGGAAACGGAGATGAGCACCGCAACCCTAGAGTCGGATTCGACTGGCTTTCGAGCAAGGGAACCTTTACCTTTACCTTTTTATTGTGTTCATATGAATACATTCTTTTTGTATTGCTGCAACCTGCATTGTATATCTGGTCAGACAGGTCAACAACTAAAATGGACTGGGTCGGTGTGGAAAGGAGGGGGGCACCAAGATTGGTGAGTGCTTAGGGTGCCAGGGAGCCTTAATCCGCCCCTGCCTCTAAACTGTGGGGTCTTGTGAGCAAAAATTCGACTTTATGAGCTACTGGCATTAAAGTTGTGAGCTAGCGATTTGGCTACTGTATAAATTAGTTAGTTTGCTCTGGAGCCATCCTTCCTGAGCTAAGACAAAAATCTGTGAGCTGGAAGCTAAAAAACTGAGCTGCGGTGGCTCAAGTGGTTAAGACGCTGAACTGCAGGCTGTGAAAGCAGTTCGAGACCCGAGTGTGCCGCATGACAGAGTGAGCTCCCGTCTCTAGTTCCAGCTCCTGCCAACCTAGCAGTTCGAAAGCAAGAAATTGCAAGGAGATGAATAGGTACCACCTCGGTGGGAAGGGAACAGTGTTCCGTGGGCCTTGGTGTTTAGTCATGCCGGCCACATGACCATGGAAACATCTTCGGACAGCGCTGGCTCTTTGGCTTTGAAACGGAGATGAGCACTGCAACCCTAGAGTCGGACTCGACTGGCTTTCGAGCAAGGGAAACCTTTACCTTTACCTTTTAGCTCACAAAAAGTAGAATTTTTGCTCACAAGACTCCACCGCTTAGAGGGAGCCTTGCTCCAGACCAATGCTCCCTCTAAGCTGTGGAGTCTGGTGGGCAACAATTCTACTTTGTGAGCTCCTGGCATTAAAGTTGTGAGTGAGCGATTTGGCTACGGCATCAGTTAGTTGGCTCTGGAGCCCATCCCTTCCTGAGCCAAGACAAAAATGTGTGAGCTGGAGGCTAAAAAAACTGTGAGCTAGCTCACGCTAACTCAGCTTAGAGGGAACACTGCTCCAGACTACAGAGATCAGTTTCCCCCTGTAATTAAGGTTTGTACAACTGCTTGGAGGAAGGTCTGAGTTCAGACTTAACTCTTTTTGGGCTAAGTGTTCCCTTCCAACTAGTTTAACTTGCAGGTGGATGGCAGTGTTCCCTCTAAGCTGAGTTAACTTAACTCACAGCTCACAGTTTTCTAGCCTCCGGCTCACACATTTTTGTCTTGGCTCAGGAAGGATGGCTCCGGAGCAAACTATGCAGTAGCCAAGTCGCCCCCTCACACCTTTAATGCCAGTAGCTCACCAAGTAGAATTTTGTTGCTCACAAGACTCCACAGCTTAGGCCAGTGGTGGCGAACCTATGGCTCGGCTGCCAGAGGTGGCATTCAGAGCCCTCTCTGTGGGCACGCTTGCCATTGCCCCAGCCAGGCCCAGACCATCATTAAAGTGTCGAATTCTCTGCCAAATAATTTTAAGTAAATTAAAGCATTTGGGGTTGCTTCCCTTACTTTGTTTGGATCATCTTAAGTTAATGTAGGAGTTGTTTTTTCTAAAGTAAAACCTCCGTATTCAGGTTAAATTGCTGTGTTGGCACTTTGCGATAAATAAGTGGGTTTTGGGTCGCAGTTTGGGCACTCGGTCTCTAAAAGGTTCGCCATCACTGGCTTAGAGGGTGCATTGGTGGATGGTTGATTAAGATGAGGGGGAAGGGCCCTGTGTGGAGCTCTTTGGAAGATGGGCGAGGATAGAAATGGCTAACTCTTGAGTTGGGAAATTTCAGGGGAGGGGAGGGTCCTCAATGAGGTATAATGTCCTAGAGACCGCCCTCTAAAGCAGCCATTTTCTACAGAGGAACTGATCTCAGTAGTCTGGAGATAAATTTTAATTCTGAGAGATCTCCAGGCCCCACCTGGAGGTTGGCAGACCTAGTAGAGATCCTCCGAGATGAGAACCCGTCTTCCTCCAGTCTGGTGGCCTTTGTCAGGGATAATCCAGGCAGTGGTTCTTAACCTTTAGTCCCCTGCCAGCTACCAGCGATGATACCTAGCCTTGAAAAACACCACCCTCTCCCAGTCGAAAGCAAAACGTTAGCACATCCCAGTAGTATTCCAGACTGTACTTGTGGACCGTTCCGAAGGTTTTGAGAAATTCATTTTCGTATTTTAGGAAATGGAGGGGGTGGCCAAAATCGTTTTCACCCCGAGTATTTTGCATTTCACCTTTCCCTTCCCCTTTGATTCTCAAGCAGATTACAACTCATTTAAATAAACCGAGAAAGCCCAGAATGTATACATGTAAAATCAGCAACAAACATGACCACATGACCACAGAAACATCTTCGGACAGCGCTGGCTCTTCGGCTTTGAAACGGAGATGAGCACCGCAACCCTAGAGTAGGATTCGACTGGCTTTTGAGCAAGGGAACCTTTACCTTTACCTTTTTAGCTCACACTAACTCAGCTTAGAGGGAACACTGCGGGAGTCCTGGCATCACAGTTGGCAGCCAGCGAGTTGGCTGCTGCTGGATCAGTTCGTTTTGCTCTGGAGCGCCCTCCCTTCCTGAGCCGAGACAGAAATGCGTGAGCTGGAGGCTAAAAAAAAACACCCCTGTGAGCTAGCTCACACTAACTCAGCTGAGAGGGAACACTGCGGCAGCTCCCCTGGAGCTGCGTAGGGGGCGTCCCTTGACGGCAGTCCAGCTGGCTGGAGCGCCTCCTGGAAAGGACCAGACGCCTTTTTTGCATTCCTCTGCAGCACTGAAAAGGTTAAACTCCCAGAGTTGTTTGCTAGAGAGGCCGAGAAAAGGGGGGGGGAGTCGGAGAAGAGGAAAGGCTCTTATGGGGGGGCGGAGGAGGAGGGGGTTGCTTCTGAATGGCGAAAGAATATAGGGAGGGTTTCCGAGATGCACCAAGCAGGAAAAAGGCCGAGCAGCCGGATCCCTGGGAAGGTTTACTTAGAAGTAAGTGGGGGGGAGAGAAGATCTTAAATCCTGGAAGAAGAGAGGAATGCGGCTGTCCTGTGCTGGGGGTTGCGCCCCCCCCCCCCCAAGTGTGGTTTTCTTTCCTAGGTTTTAAATCGTTACCTGCTTTGGTGGTTCTTGGGGGGTGGGGCGGAGCAGAGGGGCGGGGTCTTAATCTTGCAAATGACAATAAATAAAACGAGCTTCTCGGCCACGGGGGTCCTGCGGAGGCGCAGAAAGAAGTCGTAGGAGTGATGGCGGGGAAGGAATCGTTCAGGCCCGATCTGCTGCCTTAACATGCCAGGCAGTTTAGCTAGTGTTCCCCCCACCCCCAATCTGCCACCTCCCTGGGGGTTCCCTGCCTCCCCTTCCTCCTGTTCATCCAGGCAGCCCTGTTCCCTCTCAGCTGAGTTAGTGTGAGCCAGCTCACCGTTTTTTTAGCCTCTGGCTCACACGTTTTTTGTCTTAGCTCAGGAAGGGAGGGCTCCAGAGCCAACTGATTTCTGCAGCAGCCAAATCTCTGGCTCACAACTTCAATGCCAGTCGAGCTCACAAAGTAGAATTTTTGCCCACAAGACTCCACAGCTTAGAGGGAACATTGCGTCCTGACCTGGAGAGCCAGGAAGGAAGCCCCTCTGAGGGCTGCTGAGACAGAGCTATTGCCGAATATATTTGGCCTATGAAGGAGATATATGCAGTGGCTAAGCCCTTACTAGTTGTCAGAGGGCCTGGCCTGATGTAGTCCATCAGGTCGCCAAGAGTCGACTGAACAACAACAACAACAAGTCGTTTTGTCCCAGGATCCAGCTTATGCTGAGACAAACCCCTAGGACAGACTGCTCAGCCTCAGACATTGGAGGCCAAAGCCATAACAGCTGCAACAGATATTGAAAGAGCCAAACAGAGATGGTTTCCTTTCCTTCAGGATATATTTTTAAAAGCTTGATAGGTAATACCGCACAATGACACAAATCCTGATCTGCAAACTACAACAAGAGCCAGTTTGGTGTCGTGGTGAAGTGCGCGGACTCTAATCTGGGAGAACCGGGTTTGAGTCCCCACTCCTCCACTTGCATCTGCTGATGTGACCTTGGGTCAGTCACAAGCTCTGGCACAGCTGTCCTTGAAAAAGAGCAGTTCGTGTCAGAGCTCTCTCAGCCCCACCCACCTCACAGGGTGTCTGTTGTGGGGAGGGGAAGGGAAAAGGAGTTTGTAAGACGCTCTGAGACTCCGAGTGAAGGGCGGGGTATAAATCCAATCTCCTCCTCCTCCTCCTCCCTCCTGATCCACAAGGTGACCCTTAGAGGTCTCTTGACCACAGTAGCTGATTTAGCTCGGTTCTCCTTGGGTTTCTTTCTGCCTTTTTGATATCTTTCCCTTTCCCTCTTCATAGGTGAGTGAGGGTATCTGTCCACGGTCGGATGCTAGCCGAGAGAAGGGGAAGGAGATGGAAGAGCAGGACCCAGGAGAACCTGGGTTTGGCAAGAGATCAAGGAAAGGCAACCTTCCCACCCAGGCTGGGAGTGGCGTTGAATTCTGGGAAAGAGCTCTGCCAGAGTTCCTGGCTCAGGACACCGTGAACTCAGATGTACTTTGGCGATGCTTCCGGCAGTTCCGCTACCATGAGGTCGATGGGCCCCGAGAGGTCTGCAGCCGGCTCCATGGACTTTGCAGCCACTGGCTGGAGCCGGAGAGGCACACCAAGAAGCAGATGCTGGACCTGGTGATCCTGGAGCAGTTCCTGACCATCCTGCCCCAGGAAATGCAGGGCTGGGTCAGAGGATGTGGGCCGGAGACCAGTTCCCAGGCGGTGGCCCTGGCCGAAGGCTTCCTCCTGAGTCAGGCAGAGGAGAAGCGGCAGGCAGAACAGGTGAGGGGGTTTCCTTTGCTCACTTCAAGCAATGACCTTATCCTCAGGTTTCCTGCCAGATATTTCTGTGTGTGTGTGTGCGTGCGTGTGAGTGAACTGCTGTTTGGTCGCTTCCAGCCTATGAATTAATGTCCTCCAAAATGTTCTACAGTTAACAGCCTTGCTCAGGTCTTGCAGACTGAGGGCCCCCGTGGCTTCCTCGATTGAGTCAATCCATCTCATGTTTGGGCTTCCTCTTTTTCTACTGCCTTCAAGGTTTCCGAGCCTTATTGTCCTTTCCAGTGACTCTTGACTTCCAGTCATGTGACCAAAGTCCCACTGAGTTGTCTTTTTGGCAGTTCACGGGAAATACTGTGGCATGAATTAACTCGATCTTGATGGCCAGTGACGCATACCTATACTCAGGGCTATTTTTGGGCAGGAACGCACAGGAACGGAGTTCCGGCTGGCTCCTGAGTTGGCCACGCCCAGCAGGAACTTATTAGCTTAATAGGCCACACCTAATAGCAGAAACTCATTAGGATTGGCTTCATTAGGGTATGTGTGCCCTAACATGCAAAGAAGTTCCTGCTACAAAAAAAAGCCCAGGGTTTTGACAACAAAGTAAACAGAATAAGAAGCAAAAGGTGGGTGTGGCTGGACGACAACACTTCTGGTAACATGGGGGTGTGGCCTAATATGCTAACGAGTGCCTGCTGTTGGGTGTGGCCTATTATGCTAATGAGTTCCTGCTGGGCATTTTCTACCAAAAAAGCCCTGCCTATACTTAAAAATCTTTTCTAGCTCCTCATTGGCTGCCCTTCCCAGCCTCAACCTCCTCCTGATTTCTCGTTTGCGGTCTCCCTTGGGGTTGATGACGGAGCCAAGGAACAGAAAATCTCGAACGATTTCAGTTTCTTCGTCAATTTGTGCAATTCTCCCCTAGTCGTTCCTTTTGCCTTCTTGATGTAAAACTATAATCCTGCTTTGGCACTTTCTGCTTTAACATTCTTCACTAGTTGTTTCTTCACTATTTTCTTTCCGTAATGTGGTGTCACCTGCATATCTCAGACTGTTAATGTTCCTTCCGCCAGTTTTCACTCCACCTTCATCTAAATCTAATCCAGCTTTCCTTATGATATGTTCTCCATGGGGATTGAAGAGATAGGGAGATAAAACGTATCCTCGTCTGACACCTTTGCCAATTGGAAACCACAAGTGGGGACCCGCGCGAAACTTGTGGGAGCAGCTATCCCATTCCCCCCATCTCAGCTTCTTCCCCTCTCCCCCTACTTCTCTCACATTCTTTCTCCTTCCTGCCACTCCTTTTCTTACACTTTATCTCCCTCCCTCCATACCTATCACTTCCTTTCTGCCGCCACCCCATCAGTCTTTCTGCCCCTGTCACTATCCTGGCCTCCTGCCTATTCCCCTCCCCCCACAGCAGCAGTGGTAGCAGCCGCTCTCCAGGTATCACAACAAGATTGCCCAAATACAGAGATCAGTTCCTCTTAGGGTTGCCAGCTCTGTGTTGGGAAATTCCTCGAGATTTGGGAGTGGAGCCTTGGGATGATAGGTTTGAGCTTGGAAGTGACCTCAGCAGAGTATAATACCATCAACTCCACCCTTCAAAGCAGCCATTTGCTCTGGGGGAACTGATCTCTGTCATCTGGAGATCAGTTGTAATTCCAGGAGTTCTCCAGCCCTCACCTGGAGGTTGGCAAGATTAGTTCCCCTGGAGGAAATGACTGCTTTGGAGGGTGGAGTCTGTGGCATTATATCTGTCTGAAGTCCCTCCCCGCTTCAATCCCCACCATCCCCAGGCTCCACCCCTCAAATATCCAGGAATTTCCCAACCTGGAGTTGGCATCCCTATCTCCTTCCCACCCAACAGCCAGCCTATCTTTATCTGCCCCTCTGTCTTTCCATCCCCTTTCCCCCTGCAACCTCTGCTGAGGAAAACTATGGTCCTTCTCCACAGTGGGGACTAAAGCAGTTTACATTATTCGCTCCTCCTTTTTATCCACACAACATCCCTATGAGGTAGGTTAGGCTGAAAGTATGTGACTGGTCCAAAATCACCCAGTGAACTTCCACAGCAAGATGGGGATCTAATCCTGGGTCTTGCAAACCCTACTCTGAAGCTCAGACCATTATACTACACTGACTTTCACAGGGTGGCTCCTGTTGAACAGTGGATATTTCTGCAGACCTATGGAGTCCCCTGAGTCTGTAGAAAAACCTATTGAGGGAGAGTGTGCCCTCTGTTTGTGGAATAAGTATCCAGATGCAGAGGGAACTGTTGCAAATTAGATATATAGATTCTGTTTCTCCATTTTCTGTCCTAACAGTGGCCTCTTGTCTAGAGTACAGGTTGTGCATCAAAGCAATCAGATGTTGTAGCACACCCATTTCTTTTAAAAACAACCATAGGTTTTCATGATCCACACAGTCAAAAGCTTTGCTGAAATCTATGAAACACAAGAATTTCTTCTGAAATTCTCTCATATGCTACAATAACCAATGGAAATTTACAACCTAATCTCAAATTCATTGTCCGTTTCTGATTCCAGCTTGAACATCTGGCATTTCTCATTCCCTATACGGCAACAGTCTTCGTTGCAAGATTTTGAGCATCACTTTGCTTTCCTGATGAATTAATGCAATGGTCCAATAGTCTTTGATGTCTACTTTTGTCAGAATTGTAGCGTATATGGAGCTGTTCCCAGTCTGTGGGATATTGCTTTGTTTTCTATCAGGGCTATTTTTGGGCAGGAACGCACAGGAACGGAGTTCCGGCTGGCTCCTGAGTTGGCCACGCCCAGCAGGAACTTATTAGCATAATAGGCCACACCCAATAGCAGAAACTCATTAGGATTGGCTACATTAGGGGTGTGTGGCCTAACATGCAAAGGAGTTCCTGCTACAAAAAGAGCCCTTTTTGACAACAAACAAGGTAAACAGAATAAGAAGGGAAAGGTGGGTGTGGCTGGATGACCACACTTCTGGTAACATGGGGTTGTGGCCTAATGTGCTAATGAGCGGTGCTGTCAGGGTATGGCCTCATATGCTAATAGGTTTTGCTGTTGGGTGTGGCCTATTATGCTAATGAGTTCCTGCTGGGCTTTTTCCACAAAAAGAGCCCTTTTCCCCATATTTGTTAGCATATTCTTGTTAAGATTTTGATGGACTCTTTTTCTGTGCCTTGCAGTAGTTCTGTCGATATGCCATCTACTCCTGGTGATGGGTATCTCCCAATTGCTTTCAAGGCAGCTTGCACTTCCTATTCTAACATTGTTGGTTCTCCTTCAAAATACTCTTCTTGAAAGGTATCTGTTCATCCTTCCGTTTCTTTTGTAGAATTCTTCAGTGTTTAGTTCCCATCGTTTCTTAGGTGTTTCTAAGGCTAGATAATTCACTAGGCTGGGAAGAAGGTCCAACCTTGTTTATTTTCCCTGTGGTTGAAGTCACGCTGATGGGTGGACGCAGGGATGAGGAGTCTGGGAGTGGGTCAGGATCCGACTCCTCGGCCTGTTCCATTTCGTCTCTTTATATACAGAACAGTTGCTGCAAAGTGCACACAATTATAAGAACAATAGACAATGATTAAGCTATAATACTGATGAGCTTCATGATGTTTAATCTTTGTTCTTAACAGCAAGGCACCATCAAACAAAGGATGATGACATCAAGATGAACGGATAGGACGAACTTCTCGAGTTACCGTTCGTTTCGATGACTCTTTATCATACAGGTCTCAATTCTGTATCCATGTACAATAAAATCAACTGCTGGATATAACAAGTTCGTCCGATTGAAAGGTTATTCTTGTTAGCTAAGAGCTTTGGAAGAAGGCGTCTGAATTCAAGAATATCCAGCAGTTGATTTTATTGTACATGGATACAGAATTGAGACCTGTATGATAAAGAGTCATCGAAACGAACGGTAACTCGAGAAGTTCGTCCCTGTCCGTCCATCTTGATGTCATCATCCTTTGTTGTATGGCGCTTGCCTTGCTGTTAAGAACAAAGATTAAACATCATGAAGCTCATCAGTATTATAGCTTAATCATTGTCTATTATTCTTATAATTGTGTGCACTTTGCAGCAACTGTTCTGTATACTGTCATTTCATTGCTGCCCCCTGTGTTGTTATACCATTCCGTCTCTTACCCGTCTCCCTTGCTGTTGTTTCAGAGGTGGGGACGATCCGTGAAGATGGAAGCGAAGTTGTCTGAGGAAGAAGGAGCTCCGTCAGAGGAAAGTCAGAGGGCGCAGGCCCAGGTGGAGGCCCAAGATGCCCTGTCACGTGGTAAGGGTGTCCTGTGCCCAGATGAGACTGGGGTCAAGTTGTTGGGCAGGAGGTTCAGGACAGGAGAAAAGGGGAATACTTCTGCAGACGAAGCAAAGCGGAGTTCTGGGACGTAGTGCCATAGGGTGTAGTGATGACCACACCACTTGGTGGGGGAGTAGACACATTCATGAAGGCCAATTCAGTTCTTATTTATATTAATTAATTAATAATTATTTATTAATTCAATTTATACCCCACCCTCCCCATACGGGCTCAGGGCGGCTTACAAAAGAGGCAGATGCCATAACAACAGTTAAAAGAACATAGAAACAATAATTAAACAGCATAAAACAATCATTAAATAAAGAGCGGTGCTCGTTGATGTTCAGTCTTCTTAGTCCAAGATGGATGCCTTTTATCAACCTGGCCTGACACATCCGTTCTTTGGTCATCTGGCGTCTGCCCAGGGCCAGCTCGCCTCCTGATCTAACCCACCGTCAAAGATGGCAACTCGGTGGTCCATTAGAAGGACTCAAGGTGGCTCAAAAAAGGAAAGGAAGACAAATCGTGGTGCAGCTATTAGCCAAGGTGTATATATGAAACCTCCACGTTCCTCTGCCCTGGATGGCTGAAGCAAGCCCGATCTCATCAGATCTCGTAAGCTAAGCAGGGTCAGCCCAGGATAGTTTGTGGATGGGAGGCCACCAAAGAAGTCCAGGGTTGCTATGCAGCGGCAGGCAATGGTGTACCACCCCTGAAGGTCTCTTGGGTTGAATAACTGTGGGGTCAACATGAGTCGGCTGTGACTTGACGGCACTTTACACACACACACACACACACACACGATGTTCTGGGGCAGCCTGCCTCTGAAAACCGGTTGCCAGCAGCCCCGTAGCTAGGGATTTTTGGGGGGAGGGGGCCTTGCGGGGGCCCACCAGCTAATTACATCCAGGGCTCTTTTTGTAGAAAAAGCCCAGCAGGAACTCATTAGCATAACAGGCCACACCCAACACCAGAAACTCATTAGCATATTAGGCCACAACCCTAAAAGTAAGTACTTCTTCACCCAAAGAGTGATTAACACATGGAATTCACTGCCACAGGAAGTGGTGCTGGCTACAAGCATGGACGGCTTCAAAAGGAAATTAGATAAGCATATGGAGCAGAGGTCCATCAGTGGCTATTAGCCACAAGGTACAGAAAGGGACTCTGGGGCAAGTGATGCTCTGTCTTCTTGGTGCTTGGGCGGGGTCAACAGTGGGAGGGCTTCTAATGTCCTGGCCCCCTGGTGGACCTCCTGATGGCACCTGGTATTTTTGGCCACCGTGTGACAGAGTGTTGGACTGGATGGGCCTTTGGCCTGATCCAACATTGGCGTCTCTTATGTTCTTATGTTCATCTGCGTATTGGTGACGCCATAGCCCTTGCCTCCAGGCAATCTGGACAAGTGGGCACATGTACATGTTAATTAACATAGGGGAAAAACACCGCCCCTGAGGCACTCCACAGATCAGCGGGTGCCTTCGGGACAGCTGCTCCCCGAGTGCCACCTTTTGTCCCCGACCAAATAGGGCATATTGGAAACTGGCCGATAGTTTGCCAATTCGGCCAAATCCAGAGATTTTTTTTAAAGAGAGAATGAACCATCGCTTCCTTGAGAGCTCCCGGGAAAAGCCCCTCAGAGAGGGAATTGTTGATAATATCCCTGAGGGCATCTCGAAACCCTTCACAACCAGCTTTAATTAGCCATGAAGGGCACGGATCAAGGCTGCACATTGTTGGACGTACTGTTGAGAGCAGTCTGTCGACTTCTTCTAGACTGAGTGGACTGAAATAATCCAAAATCGGACTAGAAGGCGTGCCTGGAGCCTCGAGTTCGCTCACTGTCTCAATTGTGATGGGAAGGTCACGGCAGAGCGACAAGACTTTATCTGCAAAGTAGCTTGCGAAAGCCTCACCAGCCAATGTCCAATCCTCTAGTGTTTGGCCTGCCCTGTGGTAGAACTGTTAGCGACCAAATAGTTCTCTACAATTGGGCCGGGTGTGAGCTTGCAGACGCAATCGTAGCTGTGTAGAACTCCCTCTTCATAGCTTTGACTGCCATCTCATAGGATCTCATAAACGTCCTAATCTATAGGATGCTCTCGTTGCTTCGTCATGAGTTCGCCGCCACTGTCTCTCTAGCTGTCTAAGGCTTCGCTTCATCAGCCTCAGCTCCTGGGTATACCAAGGAGCCAGCCTAGAGCGAGGGCACAGCAGGGATCTGGGCGCGATCTCATCGATGGTTGCCAAGAGTTGGCTATGCCAATCCTCGCCTAGCTCATCCAACGAGCTGCCAGGGGGCATTGAATCCTGCAGGGCCATCTGAAGCCGCAAAGGGTCCATTTGGCTCCACGGGCGAGCTAAAATACGCTCGCCGCCCATACAGGGTCGGGGTGGAACATTCACGCGGGCCTTCAGGGCAAAGTGGTCCGACCACAGAACTACTGTAGTAGTAATGCAGTCCACTGTAACCCCTGCCTCGAAGATCAAATCGAGCATGTGCCCCGCACGATGAGTAGGAGCCGTTACATATTGGGAGAGTCCTAGCGCCGCCATGGACGCCACGGGGTCCATTGCAGGACTATCATTCTGGGGTGCTCCAATGCCCAGTCCGATATGGCCTCTGTGGAGAAACGCCATTTTGTGGATGTGTTTAAGTTGGTGTGGGCCGGATAGGACGAGGCCATCAAACTTTGGGTAGGCCTGGGCCTAGTCTCCTCCTTCCCCCCTCCCCTCCTGTCTCCACCCAGCCGTTAGAGGGCAGATCCCTAGAGAGAACAGGAAGTCCATCTGCCCCAGAATGCTGCAGGAGAGAGAGCCAGTTCCTGGGTGGGAAACGGCTGTTTGATATTGTGGAGTGTCAGACGTTTGGTTGGCGTCTGCAGGAGGCGGAGGCCATGTTGGGAGACACGCAGATCTAACCTTCTCCAATGAAATGGAGTCACGTGCCTGCCCTGCAGACCATCTGGACAGGGCCTCAGTGCAGAGAAGGGAGAGATGGAGCGGCTTTGTCGCCCTTTATTTTTGATTCTTCCGTTTACTGTTAATATGCCTGTAAATAGGTATGAGCTTCCAAAATAAATCCTTTTACTGTTGACGGTGAGAAGTCCCTCTGTACCGCATAGTTCCCCCAGCTGCTTGGACACGCTAGGGGTGGGTCAGGGGCTCCCCAAGGAGGAGAACAGGGAAAAATGTCCAGTTGCCAACTCTCCAGGGGAGCCCCAAAGATTACCAGGAAGCCCCGTGGTGGGTTCCTAGTGACATCGTAGGGAGGTTAGGAGGCTGTCCCGCCTAACCAGAGCCCAAGACATGGACAGTGGTGGCAGCAATACCCGGAGGCAGTGGTGAAAAACTGCCCCTTCAGGTGCCAGGTCAAGGCAAAGGAGGTGTGGGCAGAGCGGGGCCTGCCAGCTGACGCAGGCCTGTTCCGCCACAGCCTCCAACAGGGATGATAGGCTGTTTGTCTGTGCGTTGGGCGGACGGTACACCAACCAAACAGCCAAACTCTCCTCGGACTCCCACACAAAGCCAGTGCCCTCTATGCCCGTGAGCCTCAGTGGCGGGAGCACCTTAACTGTATAAGCCTCCCGGATGAACCGAGCCACTCCTCCTCCCTCCCCTTAGTCCAGGATTGGTGGAGGACCGTGAATCCAGAAGTAGCCAACAGAGAGAGAGCTACAGTCTCCCCATCTCGCACCCAGGTCTCGGTCATACACAAAAGGGCCATATCCTGCTCAAGCAGGAAGTCCCGAAGGACCATAATGTTACTGTTTATGGACCTGGCATTACACAACACCAATGTCGGAGAGGGGTCATTAACCCTAGCCCCACAATTTACTACCTTTGGGATGGGACGCAGGCTGGAAGGGGATCGAGCTCTTTGCTAGAGCCACAGACCATTCATAGGCTGTCTGACGGTTTGATGTTATCCAAGTACTGCAGACAATGGCAGTTCTCCCGGTGCTGTTGATCCTAGGGAGTCTCAGCGGTCTCAATAGATGATCAGATCTCAATTAATCTAATAATTTGGTACAAAACCAAACAAACTTGCGGTTAAAAATCCATCCTTCCAATGTTGTCCCCTTTGCAGGCAGTGAAGAGACATTGTCAAGCCGTCCTCTTTGTCGAGGAGTGGAAATGGCCACACCACCTCTGGTCCAGGTAGGAAGGGGGGATGAATGGAGGATAGTCGGGGGGGGGGGTCCCTTTCTCAGGGAGGCTTTTGGCCCTGCTGTCTGAGGAAGAGAGGCTCTGAACCCCGCTCTCTTCACGCATGCCAAGCTCTACATGCTGCACCCTCCTGGAATGCTCCTGTTGAGCGTGTAGTCTCTACTAGGCATGATCTCTGACAAGGGAACTTGCTCTTCCTTCCAGTCTTCCTTTCCCCTTGAGGAGGTGGCTGTGTATTTCACTGAGGCCGAGTGGGCCCTGCTGGATCCGGGCCAAAGAGCTCTCTACCGGGAAGTCATGCTGGAGATCTATGGGAGTGTGGCTGTTCTGGGTAAGAATCTTTCATAGATGCCAAAGGTGCAAACTACTGCCATTGGGAACAGGTACTAGGCTGCCAATGGGGGCCTTGAAGAAGAAAAAGAAGAGGAAGAGATTGGATTTATACCCTGCCCTTCACTAGCCAAAGGAGTCTCAGAGCAGCTTACAAACTCCTTTCCCTTCCCCTCCCCACAACAGACACCCTGTGAGCAATGTTCCCTCTAAGCTGTGGAGTCTCGTGAGCAAAAATTCTACTTTGTGAGCTACTGGCATTAAAGTTGTGAGCAAGCCATTTGGCTCCTGCATTAATTAGTTTGCTCTGGAGCCCTCCTTCCTGAGCTGAGACAAAAATGTGTGAGCCGGAGGATAAAAAAAACTGTGAGCTAGCTCACACTTGACTCAGCTTAGAGGGAACACTGCCTGTGAGGTAGGTGGGGCTGAGAGGGCTCTTTGGAGAACTGCTCCTGAGAGAACAGCTCTGAGAGAACTACGGCTTGCCCAAGGTCATCCAGCAGCTGCAAGTGGAGGAGTGGGGAATCAAACCCGGTTCTCCCAGATTAGAGTTCGCGCACTTAACCGCTAGACCGAAACTGGCACTTCTTCCCTTCCTGTTGTTGTTGTATTTAATCGTCCAGTGCAGAGAATCAAAAGAGCTGCACAGCAAGTCAAACGGGAACAGTGTGGGAACGATTCTTTGCCACTTTTTCTCTTAAAGTACATATGGGGGAGTCTGGAGAGAGAAGGAACGGGCAGAATACAAAAACAGCTCTAGGGGGAGGGCCCGGCAGGGATACGATGTGGCCAGCGTCTCAGTTTGGGAGGAAAGAAGATCTGATAAAAGAAATGCACACCCTGATTCCTGAGCAGTGCCTGACTGGTGCCTTGGCTTCTTGCAGGGGTGATGATTGGGACTCTCTTTATTCCAGCAGCAGGTGTAGAGGAGACAGCTGGGGAATTCCAGGGGTTCTCTTTAGAAACAGCCAAGAATGAAGATGCCGAAGGACACTTTGGAGACGGAGATGGACCACAGAGGCAGGTGGGAAGCCACGCAGGTAAGAGGAGGGATAAGCTCATTCCTTGCTAAGGGGGGGGGGGGTGCCTGTGAAATTTCAGTCCAAGAAGAAAAGGTCAATCAAAAAGCGAAGGCACAAAGGCCTCCGTCTTAACCAGACAATCTCCTCCGGGGAAAATGAAAGTGTGGCCTTGGCAAAAGCCTTCAGTCAGGGAATGAACTTCATTTTGCAGGTGCAAATTCCCTTAGGAGAGAAACGGTCTAATTGCTTGCCGTGTGGAAAGAGCTTCAGTTGGAAAAAGCCCTTATTTCACATCAAAGAAGTCACACAGGCAGGGAGCCACGTAAATGGTCAGAGTCCCAACCAAACATCACACGCAGGAGGCTTAGTGTGCTTGTGTATTATTATTGTTCACTTCAGTGTACAGCAGGAAGGAGTCATTGAAATATTTGGAATGTGTACGGAACTTCAGGCACGGATCAGACCTCCTTGCGTGGGTTGTAACAGGATCTCTCTCTTTATTCCAGCAGGAGATGATCAGAGGAATGAGTGTCATGAGGACCTGAATCATCTATCGCGAGATGAAGTCAAGAATGGAGACATGAGAGGAAACTTCAAGAATGAAGTTGGACCCAAGAGGCAGAAAGAAAGCCACGTGGTGAAGAACAGTGATAAACCCATTCCTCGCCAAGGGGGGTATTTCCGTGAAGTAATTCACATGGTGGAGGAAACAGACAAGTGCTTGGAGCGTGGAATGAACTTCTCAGACCAAACCCAATATAATGTCCATTTACGAATGCAGAGTGGAAGGAAGACCCATCAATGGCTAACGCGTGGAAAGACCAGGATTCACAGAGCAGAGCTCCTTAGACATCAAAGAACACGTAGAGGAGAGAAACCTTATAGCTCCTCAGAGTGTGGCAAGAGCTTCTCAGAGAAATCAGATCTTGTTCAACACCAAAGAATTCATTCAGGAGAGAAGCGATTTGTCTGTTCCAAGAGTGGAATAATGTTCTTGGATGAAAGAAAGGGTGATGTACATTTTCCAAAGCGTAGTACAATGAAGGCATGCAAATGCTTTCAGTGCGGAAAGTACTTCAGATGCAGATCACAGCTCCTTGTGCACCAAAGGATCCACACAGGGGAGAAGCCTTTTCAATGTTCAGAGTGTGGGAAGAGATTCAGACAGCGTGGCCATCTTGAACATCACCTAAAAACTCACACAGGGGAGAAAGCTTATGAATGCTCACAGTGTGGGAAGGGATTCAATTACAATAGCACTTTTCAACAACATCTAAGAACCCACACAGGGGAGAAGCCTTTTGAATGCTCCGAGTGTGGGAAGAGATTCAGGCAGAGTGGCTATCTTAAAGATCATCTAAGAACTCACACAGGTGAAAAACCATTTGAGTGCTCAGACTGTGGGAAGGGATTCAGTCACAGTAGCACTCTTCAAAAACATCTAAGAATCCACACAGGGGAGAAACCTTTTGAATGCTTAGAGTGTGGGAAGGGATTCAGTCACAGTAGCACTCTTCAAAATCATCTAAGAACCCACACAGGGGAGAAACCTTTTGATTGCTCAGAGTGTGGGAAGAGATTCCGTCACAGTAGCACTCTTCAAAAGCATCGAAGAACCCACACAGGGGAGAAGCCATTTGAATGCTTAGAGTGTGGGAAGAGATTCAGCCAGAGTGGCCAGCTTCATGTGCATCAAAGAACCCACACAGGGGAGAAACATTTTGAATCCTTAGAGTGTGGGAAGAGATTCAGCCACAGTAGCACTCTTCAAAAACATCTAAGAACCCACACAGGGGAGAAGCCATTTGAATGCTTAGAGTGTGGGAAGGGATTCGGTCGCAGGAGCACTCTTCAAAATCATCTAAGAACCCACACAGGGGAGAAACCTTTTGAATGCTCAGACTGTGGAAAGGGATTTGGTCACAGTAGCACTCTTCAAAAACATCAAAGAACCCACACAGGGGAGAAACCTTTTGAATGCTCAGACTGTGGAAAGGGATTTGGTCACAGTAGCACTCTTCAAAATCATCTAAGAACCCACACAACGGAAAAACCCTTTGAATGCTCAGAGTGTGGGAAAAGATTCAGTTACAGTTCCAGTCTTCAAAATCATCTAAGAACCCAGACAGGGGAGAAACCTTTTGAATGCTCAGAATGTGGGAAAAGATTCAGTCATAGTAGCGCTCTTCAAAATCATCTAAGAACCCAGACAGGGGAGAAGCCTTTTGTATGCTCAGAGTGTGGGAAAGGATTCAGCGAGAGTGGCAATCTTCATAAGCATCTAAGAACCCACACAACGGAAAAACCCTTTGAATGCTCAGATTGTGGGAAGAGATTCAATCGCAATTGCAGTCTTCAAAAGCATCTAAGAACCCACACAGGGGAGAAGCCTTTTGCATGCTCGGAGTGTGGGAAAGGATTCAGCGAGAGTGGCAATCTTCATAAGCATCTAAGAACCCACACAATGGAAAAACCTTTTGAATGCTCAGATTGTGGAAAGACATTCAGTCGCAAGTGCAGTCTTCAAAAGCATCTAAGAACCCACACAGGGGAGAAGCCTTTTGTATGCTCAGAGTGTGGGAAAAGATTCAGTGAGAGTGGCAACCTTCATAAGCATCTAAGAACCCACACAAGGGAAAAACCTTTTGAATGCTCACATTGTGAGAAGAGATTCAGTCGCAACTGCAGTCTTCAAAAGCATCTAAGAACCCACACAGGGGAGAAGCCTTTTGTATGCTCAGAGTGTGGGAAAGGATTCAGCGAGAGTGGCAACCTTCATAAGCATCTAAGAACCCACACAAGGGAAAAACCTTTTGAATGCTTAGAGTGTGGGAAGGGATTCAGTCGGAGTGGCACTCTTCAAAAGCATCTAAGCACCCACACCATGTAACTTATTAGCAGACTGATCAGCGTGCTCCCGGATAAACCTCCCCCTTTTCTCTGAAGATCAACCTGAAAACTCAGCAAAACTCCTATAGGTAACATGGGGAAGACGTCTGGAAACAAACGGAAAGATTCTTTGCTGAATTCAAGATTCATATTGACTTTTTTTTTAGGAAACCAGAACAAATCTCCCTCGGAGAGTCAATCCACCACAGAAGACAAAATGGTGATGGAAAATGCCAAACAACCTGGGGACAGTCTCTCGGTGACTCATCAAGCATTCTTTAGTTCTTTACAGAACTTGAAACACAACATGACACCCACAATGGCAATTTTGTACAACCACTCACTTTAGAACTTGCTGAATTAGAACAGTTGCTGGAAAAGGTGTCTGAAACCCCAGACTCAGCACCTGAAATAGCCTTCCAGGATGATGTGCATTTTTATATCAACGGGAAGTATGGTCACAGACAGGATTCTTTCTTTAGAAAATCAGTTGTAAGTCAAAATTTAAAGTTTTGGGGAATCCCTGAAAAGGTAGAAGAAAACACAAATTTAAAAATATTTCTGGCCCCATGACTCACAAACTCTTTGAACTTAGACAAGGGGATCGCTCCACTAAATGACTTCACTTATCGTTTGTGCCCCCTCCGTCAGCATCAGCGTGCTCTGCCGAGTGGCATCATAGCGAAATTCATTAACTCACACACTAAGTCCTTGATCTTGTCCCAGGCTCACACCAAAGGATATTTGCCCGATCAAGATGCAAAAATACAAGTCCTCTAAGATCTCTCCTCTGAAACACTTCTAAAAAGGAGACATCTGGAACCAATTACAGCAGCCTTAAACAACGCCAAGATTTGATACAAGTGGGTCGCCTTTTATAAAATGCAGGTAGCTCGCCAAGATCAATTTTTCCATGCATATGACTTGGAGTCTGGCTTACAATTACTGAAGGAATTGTATTTGGAACTCCCACGAGAGATCCTAACGTTAGAAGAACAGGGAAGAAGACCTCCCTTTTCAACAGGCTGGTGCAAGGCTGGGAAGAAACATGGCTGCTAAATATCATGTGCTGGGACTACAGGAGATCTCTCATTTTTCTTTCTTCCATTACTTCATTGCCTGGTGATAAGTATTGAGAGATTGTGCATTCGATTCCTTCCTCATGTTATAGAAAAATTGTCTTGATCATTTGCTGAGTTGTACAGTTTTTTAAAGTGGAGGGTGGTAAGCAGTGGGGTACCGCAGAGATTGATACTTGATCCAATGCTTTTTAACTTGTTCATTAATGATTTGGAGTTGGGAGTAAGCAGCGAAGTGGCTAAATTTGCAGATGATACGAAGTTGTTCAGGGTGGTGAGAACCAGGGAGGATTGTGAGGCACTCCAAGGGGATCGCTCGAGGATGGGCGAGTGGGCGTCAACGTGGCAAATGAGGTTCAATGTGGCCAAGTGCAAGGTGATGCACATTGGAGCCAAAAATCCTAAATATAAATACAAGTTGATGGGGTCTGAACTGGCAGAGACTGATCAAGAGAGAGATCTTGGCGTTGTAGTAGATAACTCACTGAAAATGTCGAGACATTGTGTGACTGCAATAAAAAAAGCCAATGCTATGCTGGGGATTATTAGGAAGGGTAGTGAAAACAGATCAGCCAATATCATAATGCCCCTATATAAATCAATGGTGCGACCTCATTTGGAATACTGTGTACAGTTCTGGTTACCACACCTCAAAAAAGATATTATAGCTTTGGAAAATGGGCAGAAAAAGGCAAATCGAATGAGAAAATGGTTGGAACACTTTCCCTATGAAGAAAGGGCTTAGGGCTCTTTAGCTTGGAGAAACGATGGCTGAGGGGTGATATGATCGAGGTTTATAAGATTATGCATGGGATAGAGCAGGTAGAGCAGGTAGAGAAAGAGGTACTTTTCTCCCTTTCTCACAATACAAGTGTCCCGCTACAGAGGTCAGGGGATGTGCAGAACAGCCCCGGGGACCCCGACAGACCCCGCAAGACACCCGAGGCATGACTCACCAGACGGGATGAAGTTTGACGGTCTCGGGAGGGACTCCTCCCGCAGTGAGCTATGTCGGCCGAGACAGGACCGGGGTCCACAGAGCAACCCCACAGAAGAGGAGAGGGGTGGAGGCTGCTTGTCCGACGGTCCAGGAGCGGACGCGGAGCAGCGAGTACTGCCGCAGATTGGCGCCGACGCCCTGCCGGTGTCCAGATATATAAAGGAGGGCGTGGCCGAAGCCGGAGGGTGGATGGGCGGTCCTGGGAGCGGGGCAGGGAGATAAAAGGCAGGGTGGAGAAGGGGCCGGGGAGGAGGAGTGCGCTGTGGAATGCAGGAGGACGTTGACCAGAGAGAGACAGAAAGATGGCAGGGGGGGGGAAGTCCGCAGCGCACTGGCAGAGGGACTCCAAGGATGACATTAACCCTGTCCCCTGCCTATCTGAGGCCCCTCACTCCCTCTCCCTTTTTGGACCCTGCCGCTCCAAGGGCCGTCTCCCCTGCTGGAGTCTGTTTGAGACCCCGATGCCACGGCCACTGGGGGCGCTGCACCGACGTCCAAGGGAGAGCCCGACAATGAGAGGTACTAGTTTCTGGAAACCGCGGGGCAAGGGCGGGCGCGTGATTGTGTTTCTGGTGGAATCCCATGGCATCCGGCGCCCGCCCATGTCCCCTCGCAAAAAGGGTTTTTTTTTCCAAGTGTGTGTGGGATGCGCACAAGCACCCAACGGGGCATGCGCACACGTCGGTGTAGAGAAAAAAACCCCACCCGTTTGCCGTGGCATGCCGCTTTTTTGCTGCGCCACAGGATTGTGGTGTGATTGGCACCTCCCCCCTACCACGGGACCTCCACAGGACCTCCACAGGATGTCTGCTTGCGCAACCGCGCGTTATTTTGCCCAGGGGCAAGCAGCCACGCTTCCCCCCTGCATTTTCCTGCCCATGTGACCGCAGCCTGAATTTGTTATTTTTACACAACTGGGGTTTTGTACAAAACCTTTCATTTTTTTTTTATTAACAGCATTTTGTTACATTACTGATCACTCTTTTCACATTTCATGCACACGTTACAGGGAAAAGAGTCCAGCAGTGGCAGGCCAGCTGCAGAAAGCTGCCTTCCTCTCCCATTTTAAAGACAACACCCCCTGCCCAGCACAGCATGTTCACAGGCATGTTTAAATCTTGCCAGACACTCCCCTGCATGATGGAGGAGGGTGCTCCAAAACCAAAAATTTTGGGGTCCGCTGTGACCCCTGTATCTCCATCACTTACATCCAGAAATTAAGCCTGAACACAAGGGCACTGCCGAAGCAAAGATGACACACCTTACTATTATTTCTTCCTACTGAATATGTATGGCCTTTCAGACTGGGGATTCCAAATGCATCCTGTTTTGATCTGTACGACATCCCCCAAACTCAAGTTTAGATAGGGCAGTGCTCAGAACAGAGAAGTAGTAACCAGCCTGGTACCGCCTGTTGTGATATTGTCTGATGGTTCTCACTGAAAAGTACTGGGTTCGCCGCCTGGAGGACTCAGACGACGACGACTACATGCTTTAGCACACGTTTATTGTACTTAACACAAAGACTAGCTCTAACGGCCCGACAGGGCCAACTATATACATATCCACCCAGCACCCCCCATTCCCATTGGAGGGTTGGAATGTCCCGCCGAAGTGGCTATTGGTTGGGGCTGGGGGATCCAGGATCCAAAGTTTCCTTTGTTCTAGGATCCAAGCTCTTTCCTGTGCTGCAGACCCCTGGTGGCGGTCCGCATACATAACACTCACCCTACCCCCCCTTGCATTCCTGTGCTGGAAAAGTGGCTTGGGAGAAAAGCCTTTTAAACTCAGTGGGACTGCCCCCACCTGTCCCAAGGACACTAAATTTCTCAGTCACAAGTACGGTTGAATGAAATTTGCCAGACTTCCATCCATATTAAAGTTACTTAGGCCCCGGTCGCACGGCAAAGTTGCTGCGGGAGAGGCACGGAGGGTGGGCGGGTTATCTGGGAAGTGGAGCGCACCCATGGCTTACCGCCAATAATGCACGTCAAAAAAGTAGTGCCTCCAAAGTACTAGTAAGCGTTTGCCACAGGCTGCCTCCAGACTCGCGTGGTGTGATCACGCTGGCATGCGGCATTCCCCTCCGGTCCCTCGTTTACCCGTCAGCGCCGAGGGAAGGACCCGTGCTGTGCCACTGACGCATCTGATCGCGTAATCGTGGATCAAATTGCGCCGGGGCAATTAGCCATGCTTCCCCCCCCCCCACGATATCCGGCCCATGTGACCGGGGCCATAGTTTAGCAGGTAGAGGGCAGCCCTCCACTGCGCCCCTCTTTCATGAGACGTAAGGCCCACCTAAACAAAGCTTATCTGGGACTGGGAGCAAGCTTTGTTTTTTTCTCCTGAAGCAAGGATCCAAGCCTATAGGAGTGTGTGCCCAACCCTACGTAAGAAGCTATAAACATTTTACTGTATTTCACCAGAGCCTCCTCTTTTTTTCAATGGGGTGGGGAGGAAAATTACCAGAGAAGTGGGAGGGTGGGGTACACTGGCTCCTACCAGACCCCTGCCAGGTTTTGCATGTTAGTCAGTATCACTTGGCGGCCACCAGTACAGACTATGGTGCAGGGAAACACAAAGTGATGATCTCCCTGTCCTACCTTGCAGGGTTGGCGGGGGGGGGGGCAAAAAAATGACCAAAACAGCTCCTGCTGCCCCCAAAATTTCCAAAACTGCTCTCCCAACCTCTCAGAGAGGCCCACAGGACATCGACTTGCTGCCATCGTCGCCAAACATCACCATCATCATCATCATTATTGTTAGAGCAAAATGTACTTTGCACTTTACACCATCTATATTGTTTTTAGAAGGTTTTATGATTGTTTTAATGCCTATCTATGTGTTTTAATGCCTATCTGTGTGTTTTAATTCTCTGTCAGCCGCCTTGAGCCTGCTTTGGTGGGGAGGGTGGGGGTATAAATTTGATAAATAAAATAATACAATAATGAAATAGCCTTATCTTAATAACAAACACTTAAAAAAAAACCTCCATGGATTTTGTTGAAAAATTCATTAAAAAAAAAAAAAGTTGCTTCAGGGCCCCTCCATTCGTTTCATAGTAGATGCACCCCTCGTGATGACTTGCACAGGGTACTTCCCTCCATCGGTGGCTTATGAGATACTGAGCTCAGTTGAAGTTAAGCGCTTTCACCTTGGGGAGGACAGGGAATTTGGAGGCGTACAGTGCCAGAGAGTCCACCCTCCAGAGCAGCCATTTCCTCCAGGATAACTGATCTTCGTAGTTTGGAGATGAACAGTAATTCCAGG